GGCTGATCAGTTGATTGATTTGATTTTGTCTTGTTGGTTTCAGTACTTTGGGCAGAAGGTTCTTGTTCAGAAAAGTTGTAAGTGTGAGATCGCGCAGGTGTTGGAAGATTGCTCAACTTTACAAAAGATCGCTCAACCTTACAAGGATCGCTCAACTTTATAAAGATCGCTCAACTTTTATAAAGATCGCTCAACTCTTTGAAAAGATCGCTCAACTTACTAAGAATCTCTCAACTTTACAAAAAGATCGCTCAAGTGTAAGATTGCTCAACTACAAAAAAATCTCTCAAAGTCCAAATCGCTCAATCTCCAGATCGCGCAAGGATGATATGTTGCGTGAAGTGTAGATCGCGCAAGGTGTTGAAATCGGGCAAGTGAGGGATCGCTCTACCTGGAAAAATAGCTCAACTTTGAAATGGGGCAACTCCAAATGGGGCAAGTGTGAAATCGCGCAGGTGTGAAATCGGGCAACTCAAAAGATCGCTCAAGTCCTGAAATAGCTCAAGATCAAAATCGCGCAGAGTGTTTCGCGCGAAGTTGAAATCGCTCAACTCCAAAACCGGGCAACCTAAGTTGCGCGAAAGTGGAAATCGGGCAGGAGTGCTTTTGCGCGAAACCTGTTCTTCTTCCCTGTGAGTTGCGCGAAAATGCAGGATCGCTCAAATCTGGCTTAACCTGTACGCCGAGTTTCAGATTGAGATTTTCTCCAGGAATGATCCTAGCAACAGTAGAAACCTTTTCCTTCAGCCATTTTCCTGTAAAAACAACAACAAAAATAGAGCCAGAAATCGCTCAAGTGCGAATCTTCAACAGTGAAGAATCGCGCAGGAGTGTTTTTCAGCCTTCAATCGATCGATCAGCTCCGGCTCTGATACCAGATGTTAGGTCCCTGTTTTCTAGTCTATAAAATGTATGTATGGAAGATAGATCTGAGAATGAAGCTTTCCATTGATGTGATGAAGAAGTTTACAGAATGATATGAAACTTAAGCGTAAAACTTCTATCACGAGAATAGGCACTGCGGCACTAGGAATATCGAAAAGCTTAACCTAGCCTTTCCCTTAAGGCATATATATAGCCTGACGGGAAAGGTAGGTTTTACAATCATTTGGGCTCCTTTTTCTAGGAGGCCCATACCTAAAAAGGTATAAAACCTTTTATTACACATTGCCTTAAAAGGCCTATTCATTATTCTAGCTAGTCTTTTTAATTAAGATGCTAAATATAAATAGCTAAGAAACATTGATCACAATATAATGAAAATATCTCTAACAGACGAGCAACTACAAAACCTATTGTCCCGAAATGATCCACGCTTTGCACAAGAACAACAATTCCTGACAACCATTGATGAAGAGGAGCTCGAGGATGACGATGCGGAGAAGGACGAGGGGGGCGACGGGACTAACGGCACCCCGGATGATGAGCAAGAGTTGGAGGACGAGGGCGGTTCATCCCAAGTTGGTAAGAAATCTAAATCTCCTATTATTGAAAACAATTTTACAAAAAGGAAAGACAAAAATATGAATAAATGGTACGCAAGTTGCAATCATTGCAACAAAGAGTATAGCTTGGGAACTTCTGGCGGATACGGGAGTCTGACAAGGCATCTTAAGTCTGTCCACTTTGTGGAGTATGCGAAAATAGACAAAGGCAACGGGAAGCAAACACAAATATCGAGTTTTGCAAATTCTCAACTCTTTGGTAATTTCTCCTATGATGATAAAAACATTTGACTGGTATGTCTCATTTAATTGTTGAAGAAAATTTACCCTATATTTTTTCCGAAAGTCTTGCTTTAAGAGATTATGCTTCTTTTTTTCCAACTCAAGAGTTCGATGATAATCCCATCGACCCTAAACAAGAATACAACGAGGTTAGTAAATTACTTCATCAATTGTATAATGAATTTCATGCACAATATGGTAATGCACCCCCTCCCATGCCGCGAACATCTTCTTCGGAAAAATCACTTTTGAAATCTGCATTTGGTTCTCTTTTGAAAAAAAATAGAGCAACTCCTGCTACTGAACAAAGCTCAGTTAACGAGCTTTCTTTGTATCTAACATTGAATGTTGATTATGAAGTTGGGGATGACTTTGACGTTCTTAAGTGGTGGAAGGAAAATGTAAGAATGTTCCCGGTTTTATCAAAGATGGCTAAACAAGTGCTAGAAATGCCGATATCAACAGTTGCCGTTGAACAAGAATTTAGTGCGGCCGGCAACGTCCTAACCGATTATAGAACGAGGTTGAGCCCGAGCTCTCTTGAGACGCAAGTTTGCTTCCATGATTGGTTGAAGGCCCAGCGAAGAACTCAAGAAATGACTATCGCTCCCACCCGCCACTTTATGGAGGAAATAACCACCAAAGGCGGAGATTCCGGTTGATTTTTTATTACAAAATGTATTACATTTATTAAATTCATCCTAATTCTCAATTGTACTTCTTATTTGAAATAAATATACTTGAATTATTTATATAATTGTGTACATCAATTCAATAATCAACAAAAAAAAATTATTCAATAATCAATTCAATAAAATTAATTTGTAAACTTGTACTTCATATTTCAAATAAATATGCGTTCATTTTTCATATGTAGCACTTCTCAAATTAATTAATTGGTTACAAACTTACAAGTTACAACTTAAAATTATTTTTCTAAAATCTAAAGGCTGTTTTTAAATTAAAAATACATTTGTAATTTGTTTAAATACTTATACACCTATTTTGTAACATTTGTAAATTATAAATCAAACCACTTTTCTAAGTAAAAATAGTTTTACTTAATTTATTAAATTAATTAACTTATTTTACAATATGTATAATTTTCAAAAAAAAAAAAAACATTTTAAAATACAACATAGCTCCCAAACAGCTATATAGCCGTTGGGGCTTTGGGTGGAAGGCAGGGGGGTCCCGGGGTGGTGGTGTGGGGAGTGGGGTTCAAAAAAATCTATAAATACATCTATTTTCTACCATTTTTCTACACCTCTTCTCCAACTCTTCTCCATCTTCATCTTCTCTTATTATCCTACATTCCTACTTATACATCTACCATTTTAAAGATGGAAAGTAATTCTTCTCTTATGCAAAACAATGTTGATAAGTGGAAGGACCCGAAGACCGGATTTTGGTGGGCAACTTGTAAGTGGTGCAAGAAAGAGTGTTGCTTGGGGCGTTCACACTAGGGGTGGGGGGAAAATACCAAAATTTCGGTATATCGGACTTACCATATCGATAAATACCGAATTTACCGAAGTGTTTGGTATACCGACACTTTTGGTACGGTATGATACCGTACCGAATTACTTCGGTATGGTATCGGTATATATTTTGGAAATAAACGGTATACCGTTATACCGTCATACCGTAATTCTAGGCCAATAATTTCTTTAAAATTATAAAAATAACTAGAAACACAACATTAATTCAAGGATAATGACTTTATATCCATGTTTCTTGAATTATTTATACTTTTTGTTGGAGATCATATCGATGTTATTTCAAATATATTTATGTTGTTTAAATTATTATTTTAGCAGAATGTGTTGTTATCTTCATATATCATGTGTTGAAGTATCCGTACATATAATATTTTTTTGTTCAAAGTTGAATAGAACACAATTAGGTTATCATTGGTATTTTATACTTAATTTCATTAATAATTTTAGTATATCACTATTAACAATTTTCTATATTTCATTTGATATATAATGATTTGATATTAAATCATAATAATTTACCGATACCGTAGCTTACCGTATTGAAATTTTGGTATACCGAAACAAGGTATACCGAAATTTAGGTATGGTAACGGTGTGTATTTTTGCATACCGAAAGTTTACGGTATGGTAAAGGTATGAGATAAAATCTTCGGTATACCGTACTGAACCACCCCTAGTTCACACGGAGTCGGGATACCAATAAAACATATGAAGTCATGTGACAAAGGCAAAACAACAACCAACGATGGCGGAAATCCCAATTGATATTTATTAGAAAATGTATTTCATATTGTTATTTTTTTCTCAATTTTCAAATGTACTTCTTATTTCAAATAAATGCACTTGAATTTTGTTTTTAATAAGAATTTGTATAATAATAATAATATATAATTAAAATAATAATAATAATAATAATAATAAAAGGCCCGGCCCGACGGGTGGCCCGGCCCGTGACCCGGGCGGGTGACCCGGCCCGAACCGGACCCGGGGGTTACCCGGGCCGGTTCCGGGCCTCCCCTTTCCTGAATCGAGGCCCGGCCGGTCCTAGGCCCGGCCCGGGCCCGACCCGGCCTGGTCCATCCCTAAGTGAGACTGTGAGAGGATTCCTACAAATCCTACTTAATCAAGACATCAAGAGGATTCCTATTTCTCATCAGAATTCCTATTCAGTATACTACGAGTACATTTTACGGCTGGATTGTTGGAGTACCTATCAAGTAATTTCAAGTTGTTATCAAAGAAAAATAAACCTTTCAGCTTGTAGCCAGCCTTGGACTCGGCCCGGGTGGCCCGACCCGGAACCGGCCCGGGACCGGTACTGTGTTGAACCGGCCCGGCCAGTGATCGGTCCGGGTAGGCCCGGCCCAAGGGATTCCCGCTGCGGGCTCGGTTCACCCAAATGCCGAACTGGCCCGACCAATTCGGGCTCGGTTCCGGACTTTTTTTATTTCTTTTTCAATTTTTTTAGCTTTTCGGGTTGGGGTGGCTATTTTGGGCCATTTGGGGTGGTTTGGGGGGTTGGGGCCTTGGGGGTGGGGGGTTAATTAGGAAAAGCGGAAAAAAATTGACCCGAGGCCCGGCCCGGCCCGAACCCGGTGGCTACCTAGGCCGGTCCCGGGCCTCCTTCAAAAAACCTGAGGCCCAAACGAGCCTAGGCCCGGCGCGGGCCCATGACTACTTGTAGCTACATATCTGACTATATGTAGCTTTTCAGCTCTACGTGCTAAACAGGCTCATCCGCTCATTTGTATAAAATAAAATCTAAGTGACATTAAATAACGATAGAGACCAATATCTAGCACCTAGGAGTGACATAGGCGACAAAAGACCACCTAGTGTTTAGACAGGGATAGTCGGAGATTTCTACAACTATGCTTTCAGGAAGAAGAATAACAATCAATCATCATTCCTTTAGTTGAGCTTAATGATACAGTACAAAACACCTCAATGGCACAAAATGCAATTGCTAATGCCTACTGCTGCTGGATTATAGATGCACTTTCCACTATGACAAACATAATATGAAAGCAATTGGGACAATTTAACGATTCACCCAACAGAGGGAGGTTCAAAATTTCCAAGTCATTTATCTTCATCTTCATCTGAGTCTTGGAAGAGTGGCTGAGGCTGCGTTTGGGCATATGCTGGAGCGATATATTTTGGATCTTTTGCAGCCGCATCAGCATACTTCAGGATAGCTTCTCTTGGATCTTCATCCATCCAAGTCTCCTTTATCAACCCACCTTCCTGCACAATTCAGAATGTAACGCCTGACTTCGTACTCATTCAATTATACAAGACACCACAAGAAGAAGAGAACAAAAGGTAAAAGATAATAAGCTCATAACCCGTTTGTTTGGCTTGTTTTCAGAATTACAATCAACTTTTAAATTTTTATTTTCACCAAACACTGACTTGCTTATTTCATTGCGCTGGCTGAGGATGTTTTTACTTGGACTGTAATTTGCTGGTCTGATCTGGTCTGGTCTGAATTGGACTAGATTGGTCTGGTAAGGTCTGGTTTTTTTGTATTTTTATAACTATCCAAGTCTGGTCTGGTCTGGACTGGTCTGAGACAAATTACAGTCCACGTAAAAACATCCTGAATCGGGTGAAAATGGAAAGATGTAGTGTAGGAGTTACTACTTTCAGGCTGAAATCTATACTTCTCTACCTTTAATGTTGGATTTTATTCTCTTTAAAGTATTTAACGAACATTTTTAAATAAGTCATATTCAAAGAATTCATCAGTTTTGGCCAATCCAACAAGTTCAGCAATTTTCACCAGGCTCAACCATTCATAACTTCATTTTAAGCCTTACGAAACTAGCTCCAAGACGTTAGATACTTGGATATATCATCATCATTGCCCCAGTACCGCAAAGGCTCCCACCTACAGTGGAGTAAGGGGAGTGGAGTAAGAGGCGTCGGATGTACGCAGTCTTACCCCTGCACTAAAGCAGAGAGACTATTTCCGAATGACCCATAGTGAAATTCACGTCGAAAATTGCATGGACTGACTGCTGCTTCATAACAAAGAAGCGCAGACAATTTAGTGAACTATTTTGCTATATTCCATCATATTCCCATGCCAAAAAATAGCGAGTTTTTGACTCCATTGCAAATGATGGTAAATATACTTGGATATATATGGTCGGATATTCAAAAATGGAAAACATTTGGTAACATCCATTCCTGCCAAATAAGTGCGTCAAAAACTAGCTACTTATATTGATTCTTGTGGTTATTATCATAATTAATAAGTCGATCAATCAGAATCTAAGTACTTTTCTAAATGATAAAATTACTCATACAGTAATTATCCATAGGTGTTCACAAGTGTCTCACAGAAAAGATAGAGATGGAAAATAGATGTTATTACCTTGAGAAGGTATTGTGTAAGCAAGCTTCCCTTGGTTGAACCCACCCTACCACCATGACCAGGTCCATTCATGGGCACTTCAGGCTTATGAGACTTGAGTGGATCTTTCAACATCTTCTCGCGTTGACGTTTACGGCTAGGCTGATCCCTGAACAAGGGCAGTGCATGTGGGTTGTGAATCACCGGCTGTGCCTGAAAATCGTCAACAGACTTTTTCCTGGGTGCGCGTGCAACACAGACAAGAGCTCCTCTTTCACTAAGGGTTGGATCATATAGTACATGTGTTCCTCCCTCACGCTTATCTCCTGCCGTAGCAAATACCTAAAAACAATTGTTGTGAATACCAGTGAACCTTCAAATTGCACGAATATTTAAAAAATGTAAGATGAAAAATAGATAACCAAACTAGTGAATTCTATTTTGGAAAAAATCCTTAAATACTCCATCTGTCCCAAAATTAACTTCTCACTTTCCTTTTCGGGCAGTCCCAAAATTAACTTCACACTTCAAAACTTTCCTTATTTGGCAAATAATCTACATCAAAAAAGTGTCAAATAGTGCCAAACAGTGTCCCAACAGTGTTAAACAGTGTTTAAACAGTGCAAAACAGTGCACTCCACAGTAAAGTCAAATTTATTTTCTTAATCTGTGTGAAGTCAAACTGTGAACTTAATTACGGGACGGAGGGAGTATATTATACAAATTAAATCAGTGTTGGATCATATGCTATGTTGCTAACTTGTGATAGAGAATAAAGATTATATTAATTCTTTTCTATTTTTAAAATATTTTCAAAAAATATATTTAACCGGAAAAAAATCAGTGGGTGGAGGGTGGCTGAGACAAATCACTGCCTACTGTGATCTTCTACCACACTTTTCTTCTGAATCTCTTGTTGGATCATATTTGCGTTATTTTGGGTATGTTTGGATCACAGATAATGTAAAGAAAAGGAAACTAGATGTTAAGGAAAAGTTAATTTCATATGCTTTTTCGCTTTCATTTGGAAAATGCAAAAAATAGAATGTGATTGAATTTTCAATTTTTTCCACATTTCTATATTTCTTAGTCTCATATACTAGAAATAAATAAATAAATAAAATGAACTTAAAAATATATAAAACAAACTATTTAGATTGAGTTTATATTTTAGGGAAAACTGTCAAATAGGCCCTCCTAGCATATCAAAAAAGTCAATTAGGCCTCCGAACTTAGAAAACACCCCATTACATCCCTGAACTATACAAAAAGATTCAAACTTATATTTTAGCCCTTTAAACCCCGGTTACCCGATGACCACGATGACATGGCAGTCCAGCTGTCATTTTTTAACGTTTTCTTTTCCTTTACCTTTCCCACTTCCTTCTCTGTCCGCTTTTCTTCCGGCCCACCCCCCCTGCACCCATAGTTGTCATGGCGCATGGTGACATCCATGGCGCACAAGCCATTTCCCATGGCGATGGCGCAAATATGGCGTTGCCACGTGACAAAAATAAAATAAAAAACTTCAAAACGAATGATAGACACTGTAATTCATCAACCCAACCCCAAAACATGATAAAAAAGTTGAATAACAACACTCTAACCAAAACATGTGAAGTTAAAATTGTTTAAACCAATGTAGTTCCAAAAAACAAAATACCGTCGCGTATATACTATATATAATTAGAAATTAAATACAATTCATACATAATACCAAATGTTTTACTTTAGGTACTTAATAACTTAAAATAATCTATTAATAATAAATTAAAATGATCTATTAATAATAAAATAGCTTATGTAATCAATTAAACAGAATAAAAAAGCTAAGTTATTTTACTTATTTATAATATAAGTAAACAACTAAGTAATTTATTAAACATATATAATATGTAATTAATTGTTTATATCTACTCCCTCCGTCCCGTTAAGATTGTCTCATTTTACCTTTTCGAGAAGTCCCACTAAGATTGTCCCATACAAAATTTGATAAAGATTGTGCGGCTCTAAACCATTCTTACTTTATTCTTACTTTATAAATTTAATATCAACCACACAAACTTACTTTTCTTAATAATCGTGACACCTTCTCTTGTCTCAATCTTAGTGGGACGGAGGTAGTATTAAGCAGAAAATTCAAAGGTAAACTGTATTATAAAATAATGCCTACCAGATACTTCAAGTTATCGTAAATTAATACGTAGTAATAGGTTAAGCTATTTTATTAATTTACTTCAAGTAATCAATAAAATAGGAAAAAAAAACTAAGTTACTTAATGTGCCAGCTTCGGAAGGGAACAAACAACACGCGGTGGGTCGAGGTCAACTTTCGACGCAGAGAGAGTATAGCCTGGCGAGTCGTGACTTGAGGTCGCCTTACACTTGTCGCCGGGAAAAGTTGAATTGCAGAGAACAGGGGATTCGTTCGAAGGTGATGCTCAAAATTTTTGAACGATTCCAGATGCTCCAGACAATTTTTGTCTACAGTCGTCGGAATTCTCTTTCTACTTTCCCAGGGCTCGCGAGCCTGTACTTCTCTTTCGTTAAATAAGATTGCCCATCGCCATGGCGATGGCGTCCAAATGGTGAAGGCGCAGGAATGGCGACGCCATGTGTATATACCTCGCCACAGGCCATTTTCATAGCCGGAGGGGTTTTCCGCGCCACATGGCGCACGCGCCATATCACGCCATCGACAACCATGCCTGCACCTCTTTTCTTTTCCTCCCCACCACCTTTTTCTTTCTCAATCTCTTCTTCCCACCCGCCCAGACCTTCTCCCGAACTCCTCCTAATTTCTTCTTCAATTATAATCTATGATGGCCACCATTTTTTCACCCTTCTTCCAATTCAGGAACAACAGTAATAAGGTGAATAGTAAATCCGAAAGTGGTGGTTAGGGCGGTTAGGGCGGCATAGCTCTGCCATCTGCAACTTCCTCCTGTGATGTCATTGATGCCGTCGGCCTTCATCTTCACTAGTCTTCAACACAGCTCGCCGGAGACGTCCTTTCCTTCTTTACCGCCAAGCTTAGAGCAGCTCACTTTCTCCCATGGGGTTGACCCACTTGTGATGAATACTCAGATCCTACGGGCAAAAGATATCCAAGCTTCTGGAACTTAGCCTTCTTCTTCGAGCATCCTTTTCCGATTCCCAGTTCAACCAGGTCTCCGGAGGCGGTGAACTGACACGCCGGAGTTCCGGGAAGGGGGCTTTTAGGGGTTCGTGGGGGAAGAAACTTTTGGGCTGGGAAACGTTTAGTCAGCCGCTAGACTCATTTCACAATTGGCTGCAAACAACTTTCAGCTGAGAGAGGAGGATCTGCATATGCTAATATGGGGCTACGGATGGTTGTGGTGCGAAATAAACCGGCGGAAACTGGCATGCAGGCGAGGACTTATAGTGATGGGTGGCCCCAAGCACAGCAGGCAGGGAGTAGAGATCAGAAGGTGAAATTGCTCTTCCTTCTGCCAAAATCCAGTGGCAAGTAAAATAAATTAAGTTTAATTTAGATGCAGTTATTCTTTTATTCCTTCTGGCTGCGGATTCAGGTGGGGAGTTTTTTTCCAGGGGGAGCGATGGCATGGCCAGGGTGGTGTAAGAAAATGAGGTCTCCGGGGAGTAAATGGTGCTCCAGCGTCCTGTAGCAAACGAAACCACCATAACCTTCGACCCGGAGAAACCCAGCCGTGAAAATAGAAGAGAGGAAGGAGGGGGAGAGAGAGAGAGAGAGAGAGAGAGAGAGAGAGAGAGAGAGAGAGAGAAAGAGAGAGAGAGAGAGAGAGAGAGAGAGAGAGAGAGAGAGAGAGAGAGAGAGAGAGAGAGAAGGGGCGGTGGGCCGGAAGAAAGGCATTTGGATTGTCTGCCGCACGGCAGAGTGCGTTGCTGCAATCCAAGGGCAGGAAAAATAGAAAGAAAATGTATAAAATGTATGGAAATGGAATCTGACGATTTATAAAAGCCAGGCACTCTACCTGGCTGCTAAACCAGGCAGAGACTCCGCATCCGGAAGAAAGGGGGGGAGTAGAAGGAAAAAAGGAGATAAAAAGAAAATGAAAAAGCTAAAATGACATGGACGGCCATATCAGAATGGTAACGGGTTAACTGAAATTTAACAGGTTAAAATATAAATTTGGGTGTTTTTGCATAGTTCATAGGTTTAATTGGATGTTTTTTAAGTTCGGGGGCCTAATTGACTTTTTTGATATAGTAGGAGGGCCTATTTGAGAGTTTTCCCTATATTTTATTTTTACCCGAATTTTCTCTCCTTCCCTTATCCACTCTATTGTCCTTACTATTTTTATCATCTAGTATTTTATGGGTTTCAATGCACCCTTGAAGATCCACGGAAAGAAAAGAAAATGTCAAATACCTGATTTAACCTTGGGTGCCAAGCACACTGTACAACACTGGAAGTAGAAGAGATTCCAACTCTTGACACAAGCTCCAGCTTTGCCCGATCATAAAAGCATAACAAGCCTCCAGTTGTACTGTCCCTCTCAACAGATGTCCCAGTCAAGAAGATCTGTTCATCTGGACTGAGGGCAATATTTGTTTGTGCATAATGATTTGGAAGATCATCAAAAACCTTGAGGGGTTCTTTCATCTTTCGCAAATCCCAAACCTACACAGCACAGAAAATACAGTAATTGACACATGTATTAAGTAGGATAAAATGATAAATAATAACAGAAAATCCCAGTGACCTTGATAAATACCTTCATTGAACCATCAAAGCTTCTTGATAATAAAATCCTTCCATCACTTGAGAACTTGACTCCAGAAATATCGTCTGTGTGTGCATTTACTACATGTAGGTCCGGTCTGCTTCCCCATCCAGGCTTAAGATTCCATATCTTTAAGAACAGAATAAAGTATCATGAGCACATGAAGAAGAAAAGACTCTTCTGCCATAAAAAAGCAGTGTTTCAACATTTTTTGCCCAAAAAATATTCATTTTATTAGGCAAACCTCATATTTCACTAATTTGCCAAAAAGAATCACAAATGATGCATTTATTTAAACGGTCACATAAATTTAAACTGTATAAGCAGGATTGGTGATTTATAACACTGAACCTGTCCAAAATTAAAAAGTTGTATATTGGTCAAACAAAATTCTTTTTATGGGGAAAAATGAATAATCGTAAAATACATGGATTTCAACACATCTGTGAAAAAACAAAAAATCCATCAAGACAAGCTTTCAGAGATAAGAGAAAAACCTGTATAGAGCCATCTCCTATACCACCTGCAATGCGCTTTCCTTCACGATCCCAACAACACGTAGTCACGTGAACTCTCCCAGGCCTAGAAAGTTTTGGTTTAATGACCTGCTTTTGGCTTTTAAAGTCATTCACATCCCACGTTCTCAGTGACCCATCTTCTGATGATGTTAAGATCAACTCTTTTGTTTTGGGGTTCCATTCACCACACGTCAATCCAGAAATGTGTCCTTTAGTATTCTTGAGGTCACGAATGTACATGTCTCCCCTTTCAGATTCACCCAAAGCAACTCCATCACGATCATATATCTGACAAACCAACAACAATATAAGATATGCCCAGCATTCTATTGTTGTCTCTAAATGCGAAGGTCGTGTCAGTAGATTTACACACCTTGACCTGAGCTGAGCCAGTGACACATAAAAAACGGTCTGCTGTGGGACTCCAACTCAAACTACGAACTTGATGACCGTCAAATGGCTCTACCTGTCTGAATGACTGTAGCCGGGCATTCATCCCTTGGAAATCATACATCCGAACACTATAGTCATAGCTACCAGAAAGAACTCTGGATCCTGTATGGTCCACGGCAAGTGCAGAAACAACCTGACCAAACAACATAGTGTATGCATTCTAAATAGTTCTGTAGAAAACAATACAAGCATCTACATTTAAATTTACGCATAGTAAGGGGATATGTCAAAATAATTTGTGGGTGTTAAAAATGGGAACTTTTTTATGCCAAAAGCAATTCCATTAGGAAGTACCTTTGTATGCCCTTTCAATACTATTTCATTGCTCAGAGGTATCCTATACAGGTTTTCTTCTTCCTCTTCCATCTCATCATCTGAATCAGAATCAACTGGACCAGGTGGTGGTGCAGGCGGTCCAATCACTGGCTCATCCTCCTCGTCATCTACTGCTGGAGGCAGTGGAGGTCCAATAACGGCCACATCATCTTTACCATCTGTCTCAACTGAAGGTCGGGGTGGTCCTATCATGGAAACCTCCTCTTCCTCCTTACCATTCCCGTCAAACTCAATGGTGGGCCGGGGAGGTCCAAATGTCACGCTCTTCTTCGGATTCCTATGGTTTGCGTTCTTGAACGACTCTAACAAAGATTGGGAAGATGGAGCTAAATAAAGACTGTCTTTGCTCTTAGAAGATGAATTGTTGGGTTTCCCATCCACAGTATTCGCATCCGGCACCGTGGAGGTCGCGCGGCGGGTGGTGCTGTGGACGATTTCGAGAGGGGTTTGAGATTGTGCTTGCTTGCCGAACGAAAGGGGAAATTGAGCCCTAATACCGTCGTATATCTCCGATTCATCAGCCATCGCGCCTTGTAAACAACCGTATGAGCGATTAATCTCAGTGTGGACTGTGGAGAAGCTCAGTGATGCCTTCTGCTTTTCCTAATCAAATCAAGCAGATTTTGATTTAGACGAAATTTATACATTTGCTCTGCCGCCACCACGTGAACCCGACCCATTGACTGCGCGTTTTGATGAAGGGTAGGAGTTGGAACTAGTGGAGTTGTGCACAGTGGAATGCTGCACAAAAGTAGGAGTCTGTGGGCCGGGGCTCCCGGACCATATACTCCATCAGGAGTCCCCCACTCCTTTTGCCGAAAGGTACTTAAGGGAAACGGAGTAATTGTATTGATGCGTTGGCTCTGCCGAAGGCTTACGCTTTACCGGAGAGCTTTACTAGTATTTGTCGAGGGCTTTCCCTCAGTCCCTCACATGTCGAGGGTTTTCTGAGGAAAGTGTAGATAATAGTTGTATGTGTTGTGATGAAGGTTGCTCCATCATTGTGAGTGACTTGTGGAAAGTTTCTGACATTCTGCTTTGCCGAAGGATGTAATGATGTATGTACCTGAGGGCTACATGCGTTATTTGTAGATCTTTTGTATGTGGGATTTTTTGTTTTTAGTTCTGTGTGATTCCCGAGGGATGTGTCCCAGTCCCCCACTCCTTTAGGCCGAAGGCTAGTTCGGGCTGAAGGAGTTATGATGTTCGTGTATGTCCCCGAGGGGTGTCAGTGATTGAGGAGTGGCAACATTGATAAGCCGAAAAATGTTCTTGCCCGAAGGGGTTCGACTGGGCTTCCGGCAGTTCCGCTTGGTGGGGGAGGCTGGCGATAAGTACCCTCTGATAGATAGGGTGTACGAGAGTGTCGGAGGTGATTGCCGAGGGCTCCTAGCTTTGTACTTAAGATTTTCTGTGTTTCTTGGCGTGTAGCCTAACCTCATGTGTTTCCTTCCTTTATGCAGGTGTAGAAATGGACGCAAAGATTTTTGCGAAGCTCAAGAAGCAATTGGCTAAGGAGTCGAAGAAAAAGAAGGAGGGGGGGGCCCTCGCAACAAAGGCCTATAGACCAGTTCTTCCCGAAGGAAGACGCTGCACAAGCACCGAAGGGGGAGAGGCCCTCGAAGGATTCTGGCGCTGCCGCCGGTGCTGTTGTCGGAGCCCTTCAAACCGAGGCAGCGAAGAGGAAGGCGCCGGGAAAAGGTGTCGTTCATGCCGGCAAGAAAGCTAAGAAGGCTGCCAGAGCAAAAGATGCCCCTGTGGACATTTCTGAAGGTCATTCCTCCTCGGGCACCCCGATGGTGGTGGCGACTGCTTTCGCCAATGCCCCTCCGGGTCAGGGGGCTGAATTGAAGTGGCCCCGGGATAATGTGCAGTTCTCTATCACAAATGGAACTGCCATCATGCATGGCACCCTCAACCCGAGGGAGTTCTTAAACGGCGCCACCCCCCCCCCCCCCCCCCCGACGGATAAGTCGGTGCTGTCCAGGCTCAAGGACGACGCCCTCGGTGGCAAGGTTCTTCAAGTCTCTGTCACTGTAAGATCTTCCCCTTCCTTTTCTTGACTTAGCATGTTTTGTTTAGACTTAGCACATTTTGATTTTAGTGCTTTAACTCTTGTTGCTTGATGATTCAACCTGTCAGCTGCCCTCTGACTCGGTGAGCTCCTCAAGAGGCTGGAGGAATCACAAGCCCAGAAGCGGCAAGCCGACGAGGCCTTGGATGCATCGCGGACGCATCTTCTGGAGGTCCAAGAAACCCCCCGGTTAGAGCAGGAGGCCTTCAACAAAATCCTCCAGGACTCCAAGACGGTCGTTAAGGCCGAGGGGAAGGCTGAAGGTAAGGCCGAAGCTGAAAAGGCGGCTGCTGAGGAGGCCAAGAAAACTGCTGCCAAGTCCGAGGAAGAGAAGCAAGAGGCCGTTGACCAGGCGAGGAAAGACGTCGTCTCTTCTTTCACCGTTGAGGGCTGGAAAGCCGAGGGCCACAAGGAGTGGGTGGCTTCGGTTGTGTCGGAGGCAGTAGAAGAATGGGTTGCGGGCCTCGGTGCATTGTGGCTTGCTCGGAAAGAGAAGAGCTATTACGAAGGTGGCGAGTATTTTACTCAAGCCATGATACCGGAAGCTTGACCGGCACTTCGGCGTGGACCCAAAGGACTTCAAGCCCGAAACCTACGGCCTCCCCCCGCTCCAGCTAGATGTTCGGATCCCCCTGCCCGAAGGCGAGGAAAGGGAGTTGCTCGAAGATTCCGAGTTGGCGAAGATGACGCTGCTTTAAAACTGAAGGAAGGCGATCAGGAAGCTGCTACTTAAGAAATATGTGCTTACAATGTCTTTGTAATAGATTAGCATGCCTCCGGCTTCGGCCGTTTGTAAACAAACACCTTTTGTACCCTGAAATATTTCAATTGAATGAATGGTGTGCCTCCGGGATTTCTTGCATGAATGCCTCTTTCCTTTTTTGTGTGCTTTAATTTGTCGCCTTCGTGTATGAATGTGTGTTTTCCTTTCTTTCATATGTTCGTTCGAGGGCTAGAAGCTTGTGGACTTAAAAAAATTCTAAGTAAAAACCCTTCGAGGGCCCTCGGACATATCACCCCTTCGATGGGTCCTGGGGAGTGTAGCTTGAGATGCCTTCGGCTCACAGAGATATTTCTGGGGGCCTCATCATTGTGGACTTAGAAATTTTTTTAAGTGAGCAGCTTGTATGTATTAGTGAGCCCTCGGGCCAATTGAGCCTCCATCTTGGTAAACATTCCTCATAGAGTAGAATCACTGGAGGCCGCATGACTGTGGACTTAGAATTTTGCAAGGAAAGTAGTCGCGATGCCTTCGGTGTGTAAAGCCACCTGAATGATGCATGGACCTGCATAGCCGAGAGGGGCAACTTTGTGGACTTAGAGAACTTCCAAAGTTGTTGTCAATAGATCTGGTGATCAGCCTTCGGCCAAATGAGTTGGAGGGGCCTCTCGTTGTAGGAGTCTTAGTAACTCCCCTCGGCAAAATGATAGCCTGATGAATGTTCTCCGAAGGGTGTCAGTTTGTGGACTTAGGAAAAATTTCACCATAGAATGACTTTGGTAGTGCTCCTCCTTTGTTATAAAGCCTTCGTCTAGGATTTGTGTAGCCCTTGGTAGTTCACATTGATTTGAACTCAGAGAACCTTCTCCTCATTTTCAACTAGGAGTTCAAAACCCCTTCGGGTATGAAGCAAAGTTGACTTTGATGTGGAGAGTTGTCCAATTCTTGAACAAAGAGCCTTCGGGTAAATAATCATGCGGCCGTGTTTTGTAGAAGAGCCTCCGGGAGCATGGCATCCAAAGAGTTCCTTCCCCCTACACATCTTTTTTTTTAATGTTGTAGGAGGGGCATCAAGAAACTTGGTTTCTAGGAAAGGCTTGGCCTATATGGGAGGCAACGGAATAAACCGTTGGCTCCCCCTTCGGGATTGACCTTCCGAGATCCCGAAGGGTTTGAGGGTCATTTCCTCAGCTCGAGACATCGTCTGTTGCCTGCTTCCCCTTGGGGGATAGCGCGGAAAGCGCCTCGGTTTTGAAAGTCGTCCCCTCAGCCCGAGACATGGTCTGTTGCCTGCTTCCCCTTGGGGGATAGTGCGGGGAGCGTTTCGTTTTTGAAAGTCGAATCCTGGGCCCGGGACATGGTCCGTTGCCTGCCTTCCCTTGGGGAATGGCGCGGAAAGCGTTTCAGGGAAGGGTTTTATTTGTGTGTGGAACACAAATAGCCGGGGGCACTTGGTACCTGCCGGAGCCGAGGGGTATATTACCCCCCTGGTTATTTTTTTTGAGCATATGTATAAATATGCATAATGTATGCATGAGGGCGTCCTCGTGGGGTACGGTTTAGTTGAAAACACTTGGTATTTTTAAGAAAGGTGGGCGTATTTGCGCACCTTGTACTTGGTACTTTGTCATATTTATTCCTCCTCATGAGAGGAAAGGGCCTTGGGCCTATTTTGATGAGGGGATGAGGGCGCGACCACTCTTGAACTCGTGTTTATTCTTCGGAAAAAGAAGGGGTCGTGGGCTGTTTGATCAAGTACATTTGTGGAGGAAAAGTTGTCTGGTTGGTCTTCATCATGTATCTTTTATACAATGGTTGTCTTCCCGTTGGAGGAGGAGACAACTGCATTGAATGCGCGTACTGTTGAGTTGACCAATTGGGCCCACAAGTTTAGCGGCTTGCTATTTTGGGATAGACTTTCCTGGAATCTCGTTCAATCATCAGCTTAAACACTTTTAGAGTGTAGAGATCATTAAATGAGCATTAAATGCGGTCCTGTAGCATTTCCGTTGAGGGACTCCTAGCCGTTGAGGGAATCTTTCTTTAGGTACTCCGGCGAGGTAGCTTGCAAAACTTCTAAGCATGTGGTCTTCTGTTGCGTTGCATAGAGAAGCAGTTACAGAGAACCTCGAGCTCTTCTGTCCAACAGAAGCCCAACAGAGGGCCATGAGCACTTCTGTCAAGTAAACAGCCAACAGAGGGCCAGAAGGTCTTCTGTCAATCGACTATTCTAGAATGCTTACACTTAGAAAAATTCTAATACATCAATTCTAATGGGGGTATTTTAATGTTCTAATTAATCTAGCATCATCAAAATCTAAATACATGTATTCCTTACAATAAGATGCTAAACAATTTTCACCAAAAAATTTCATCGGGAACCGCCCCAAATCGCGACGACCGGACAGAACCTCATATATAAGGACTTATTTGACCTTTTTATGAAAGTTCGAGGACCTATTTGATAGTTTTCCCATGTCTAATAAACCCTCGATACAATACGCTTACTAAAGGCCGAAGGCCGTTCGTCCTATCGTCGATCTGCAAGACCTCATCCCTCCATCTGATCAAGAATTTGGATAGAGGTTCGTCCCTCCCCTGTTTCATGTTCGTGAGGGATGTGAAGGACTTCTTGGGGGTGGTGCTGACTGCGAACTGTGCCATGAACTGCTGGGAGAGTTGTTCGTAATTATCAATGGTCCCGGGCCTCAGCTGGCCAAACCATTCCTATGTCGGCCCCCTCAGGGTGGTGAAGAAGAGCCTGCAAATGGCTTCATCCGACGCTCCGAGCATGGATAAGTTCCCTTGGAAGCTGATCAAGTGTGCCTTGGGGTCCCCGGTTCCGTTATATACCAAAACGCCCTGCAGTCTGCAATTATGGGGGATCTCAGCAGCCATGACCCGTGGGGTAAAAGGTGACATGGGGGAATAACGGGGTGTAATCAGGGTGCCCTCCGCTCATCTATCCATTTCAGCCATGCGTCTCTCCATCGCCTCGAGCCTGGCCTCCTGCGCGGCCATTTCTGAAGTCACAGGAGGGACGGCCTCACGGGCGATGTTTGGATTGATGGCAACAGCGATGTGTTGCCTCCTGGTGATATGGACGCACCCGCCTTCGGAAACGCTGCCCTATGTTGCTGGCTGCAGGGGTCACCTCCCTGCCCTGATATCCCTAGAGGACGCTCGGCGTGCGGGCACGCGTGTCATGATGTCCCCCATGTCCTCCCATGTCTTGAGAGCGTGGGGTTCCGCCCATCCTCTCGTGGACAGAGGGACGGCGTCCGCTAGATTCTGCCGTTTCGTCGAACGGCTGCATCTGGTGGATGGGAGAGATGGGTGTACGAACAATGTTTGCTGAGTGCACCTGCTCGTGAGCCTCCTGCTCATCCGGCGCATAGTTTCCGCCAACTCCTTCATGAGACGAGGGTCGTTCATGGCCTCGTGGGGGATGAGGGCCCGCCACCCCCCGTGGACCACAGAGTCTCAGAACTCTTTGTGGTTTGCCTGTGGGTCCTCCATCTGCTCTCTAGCCGTTCAGAGAGGTCGCGTTGTTGATTGTTGTTGTTTCTTGCCATCTTTGCTTGCTGTAGGTAGTTTTGGTAGATGTTTGTAGGGTTTTGGAAACTTTTAGTTCAGTTTCCCACAGACGGCGCCAGTGTTGAGGTTTATTCCTTCAATCTTTGGGTCCAACATGTAAGCCCAAAGATTTCGAATGGATATTTTATGTGTGAGTGATTAAACTGATTCAACAACAAGCAAGATGGGTTAAGAAGATGATTAGCAAGTAAAAGACTGGATATTATTAATGTCTATTAAACCCCCGATACAATACGCTTACTAAAGGCCGAAGGCCGTTCGTCCTATACTGTAGTAGAAGAGTTGCGAGTAATAAGCTAGAAATAAGCTAGAATGCTAAAGGAGTGTTTGGTATTGATTAAAAAAGCGCTTTTCAGCTTTTGGCTTAAAAAAAGTTGAAAAAAGTGTTTTCAAATGATAGCTTCTGCTTAAATTAATCACTTAAAAGCTAAAAGCTGGAAGCAGGTAGAAGGGTGCTTTAAACTGCTTCTCACTTTTTCTATTACACAAAAAGTACTTATTTTACCAAATACTACCAACTTTTACTTTTTCAGAATCACTTTTTTCTCAAACACTACCAACTTTTACTATTAATCATTTTTCCCAAAATCACTTTAAAAAATCACTTTTTTAAAGTTGAAGCAATCGCAAACACTCCCTAAGGCTAATAAGTTGTCAACCCTTTACAATGAAATAAATGCTACTATTTATACCACCAATGGGTAGTTGGCTATGCTGATGTGGAGGGCTATGAGTGGTTGAAGCCCCAACCACCAAATCCCCAGCATTAAATGCCCCTCCCGCCAGAATCTGGGTTTCCCGCCTACTATGCGGAGACAGACGTCTCCCTAGACTTGGGGCCTGCTCCTGGTAGTGCTGCAAAGGGATGTGGGCCGTTCGTATTCTGGCCCTTGGTAGAATTTGTTATATAGCTCGAACTGGGCCGATCCTCTAATTGGGCCATTAACCCAACACTCCGTAATCTTCCAAAGGAGCTTAAGAAAAAAAGTATTTTGAATAAGAGGAATACTTGTACCAGTTAGCGAATCACTGTTTTTATCCCACAAAAAATTGGATAGTTTCCGCTCAATGATGTGTATTATGTTTCTGGGGGGGGGGGGGGGGACTGCCATGTAATAGAGCGGAATAGTACTCAACACATGCTCCCAGGTAGGTAAGGGGAAAGGATCCTTGCTTAATTTTAAAAGATGTTTTCAACATTCGACCAAGAGTGGTTTTTGGAATGCTGCAAGATAAGACAGAAACTCTTATCTTTGCTTATCATTTGCCCAGAGTAGGTCTCATAATCAGTAATAATATTGTTAAGTAAAATAAGACTCCTTTTTTAA